AGGTATTGTTAGTATATATGTGCAGATTGTTATCATTTTATAATTTAGTAGACTCATTGTTATCTTAAATCGTTTAAGTAGCTTTCCAAGAGGCATTCATTTCAGTAGCATGGTATTTAAAGTTATACAAGTTAGTGTGAACAAAGGACATTAAGGGTTTTTTCATAGAGGTCTCAACCAAATGCTCAGACCTTTGCAGAAGAATTGGGCACTGAAAATTAAATCTTGGAGAGATTACCAACCATCTTGAACATTTCAAACTCAAGTACATGAGTCTGTGAGAATTCATTAACAATTATATTGAACAGTCAGTGAAACAATTTATAAAATAGAGATCTGTACCTTTTGTGATATTTGTAGTAGAAAGTACAATGAAATTATTAAAATATGCTTTTAATAAACCTACATTGACATTTAATTTTGCCTGAGAACATTTACTGACAAATGCTATAAATATTTTATAATAAGTTTAATAAAGGATAAATTGAGATGAACTAGTTTATTATAGTATAATAATATGAATGTTTCACATTGAATTTGGCTTTTCCTTTTTTCACAAGAAGGCCTTCTTTTGTGATATTCCTTCTGATTAGACTATTAATTCCAATTTGACTCTTTTATTATTCCTATCCTGCTTAACACTGTATTTGAATAGCTCTGGCTTATCCACCAGATCTCACATTATATGTCAGTATCTCAGACTCGAACATCCCTTCTGAATTAGGTCCCTCATTATGTCTTTCATGATATTTTGTACTTTTCTTTCATTGTTCCAATCACTGTTATAATTATATCCTCCCTTTTTGATATTTTGTTATGAATATTACCTTTTTCAGACCATAATCTCCTTGTCATATAACATAGTATCTGGCACATAATAGATGATTGGAAGGGAATTGGAAGAATCAATGAACAAATATTATTATGATACCCTGCTTGCCAGGATGCATGCTGCAATCTCTATCTGTACACTATGTTTACATATTTTTTGCAAATAAACAGATACAGAGAATTAGTTTCTCTATGTAATAGGAATAGAGGAGATAATCCACAATACTTTTATAACAAATTGTATCTGAGCAAGAGACTTTTACTGTCACTTTTCCCTTGCATTAAATGTACTTTATCTTTGGAAAAGTAGCACACATAATCTGTAGTTCCAAAGGCCTTGCACATACTTGCATAGTGTCAGTGCTCTCTCCTATTACTCTCTGCTGTATCCAAATTTTAATTATTGGTCTCAAAATTCCTATGCTGTCTTGTCTTAGCAGATGACCTGGATACTTACCACTGAGTGAAAAACAACAGCTTTTACTTGAGAAATACTTCAACTTTTTCCTACCACTTTCCAAAAAGATAAATAATAACTATAAATCCATATCCTTTATTCCTTACCTCTACTCTTGGAAGGAGAGATGCCCTCTGCTTCTGGATTTGATTCTTTTCCACTTTTTTTCTGGTCTTCCTATCAATTATTCCCTCTCTTAATTATCTTTCAAAAATCTTTTCTTTTTGTACTTTATCTTTCTAGACATCTTATGAATGCACTCAGTTCTTTTCCACACTAAAAACAAGAAAAAATAAATTTCCTTAATTCTGTATCCTCCCTGTTATACTTTATCGGCTTACTTTCCTTGTCTGCTGAATCTATATATTCTAGGTCTCTAATTTTCTCACTATGGATACATTTTTTAACCCACTGTCATCTGGCTTCTTCCCTCACTAGCAGAAATTGGCATTAACAAAGGTTACTGATGACTTACTAATGACTAAGTAGAATGGACTTTTTCAGATCTTTATTTAACTTGACTTCTCTGTTGTATTTAAAATAGTGTTGCCCATAACATCTTTTCTTAATTTTTTTCTGGGTTTTTTAAAGGTAAAGATAATATCTTCTCATTGCAGGAAATGTAAGCATTACAGTTATGAAGATTGTCACCCTCATTTTGAAACTTTATTTTCCCTATGTTTCTATGACTCTGTTTTCTGATATTGGTCTACCTCTTTCAGTCTGGCAATTTTCTAAAATGGTCTTTATAGGCATTTCTTTCTTTGCCAAACCCTTGCTTTGTTGCTCCTGGGCTCAAATTTTTTACATTTAAAATCTTCCTGCAAGGTACCTTCATTTTCTCTTATGACATCAACCATGACCTTATGACTGCTGATCCTATATCTTTAATGCGGAGTGCCAATATCCATACTTCAGTTTCTTACATGCAGATTCATTTAGGTGTCTCACATGCATTTCAGAATTTATGAGTTCAAAACAGAACCTAGAACATTTTCACAAAGTCATTGCCATTTCTTATATTACCTAGTCATTGGCATTGCCTTTATCTAGTATGTCACTCCATATCTTCCCCTAGATTCCTTTCTTTCTCTCGCTGTTTGTCTCCAGTTGCTCACCAAATTCAGTAGGATATTCTCAGTATGTCTCAAATATTTTCCCATTTTCATTCATGATGGCACTGTTTTAGTTTAGACTCTTTCATTCTAGACTCCATGAATTCGTAAGTGGTCATGTTGCTTTAAGGGTTATCTGATTTCAGTTCATCTTTCACTCTGTAAATAATCATCTCTTAAGCACTCACATATGACTGCATCATTCTGCTTAAAATAGTATTTCTCTGTTAGCTTTACTATATGTCCCAAAGGATAAATTCTAATCTCTTTACAATAGCCTCAAGTGATTTGTCAATTGGCCTTTACCTATCTTCTAGCTGATGTCAGGACTAAGTCTCAAAGAACTAAAATCAGAATGGATTATGTTATTGTAAGCATTAAGTAGTAGAACTAGCAAATTTAGTATGAATTAAAGTCTTTAAGGGTTTCTGATGGTCAAATCAGGGACACGATAATATTTGACAAGTCTTTAGGGTAGGAGTAAGAATAAAAAATGACAGAAACACCTAAGAGGAGCTAGACAAAACTGAAGGGGAAGGAGAATGAGATAAAGAACACAGGAAATCAAATTCAGGAAACTATCACCAAGAAGTCACTCAAATGTTTATAGCATTGAATTTGTTATGGGTAGGTATGTTCACTTGACTTAAAGGGCCATGTTCAGACATTGTTTTGTCAAAGACTAACAAAAAACTCTATGATATGTCTGATCATCATTCTCTTCTGTGTGAAAGATTATAGTGACTCCCTGTCAGCTATAGAATAAAATCCAATATTTTTAAATTATGCAGGAGAGCCTCCCATGCTTCTTCTTATCTATGTAGCATTACCACTTACCTCTGCCTCCTTGCTCTTTAAGCGCCATCATTACCAATTACTTGATAGTTCCTGCTTTTTTTAAACACATATTGTTTCCTCTTACTGAAATGCCCCTCAGTTATTCATTGCCTTGGTGAACTCCTTTTCATCCTTCAAAATCCTGAATAAAAACTACTAACTCCTGGAGACTCCCTCTGAATAATTTTCTCTAAGTTACCCTCCACCTATTCATTCATGTGTTTGTTTATTAGTGAGAAAATAGTTACTAAGTATTTAGTATAGGTCAGATTCTGTTACAAACTGGAAACCCCATGGTAATCAAGGCAGACCAAATACCACAGCTTTTATCCTTCTCGGCCTTACATATTCCAGTGGACACACCCACACAGCCCCCTCCACAAAAATACAGAAAATTCTTACCAATTAAATAAGTGTTAAGAATTAAAGAACAAAGAACTGGAATATGGAAAAAGAGGATGAGGGGTAGATAGAGGCAAACTTTTTCAGTATAAGGTTGAGCTATATGAAATTATTGGTGTATTAACTGTTTGTGTCTCTTAAAATAGATAGTTTTATATAATCCAACCTAACGATTGCTTTCTGAGAAGTTATTATTTAACCTGAGACCTTAACATATTCCATGAACCAAGAAAATGCTACAGGAGATAGAATCAAGAAAAGTGAGTGACTAGATGAAAGTAAAAGAAATGAGGCAGATCATATATTATCTTTATGAGTATTTATTAGATTCTTATTAAAATATAAAGCTTTTAGAGTATTTTATGATCTTTCTTATTACGGTATGTAATGGAAATCAGTAAGGGTGGAAATAAGGATACCATTTAAGAGGAAAGGAGACAAAATAATGTTGTGTTACATGTTCAGGGTTTGGGATGAGAAGGCCTTGGTTTAAATCTTGGTTATAACATTTATTTTCTTGTTACATCATGAAATCATACTCAAAGTTCTCTGAATTTCAGTTTCTCCACGTGAAGTGGGAATAATAACATAATCAACTTTATAGGTTTTATTCTTGGAATTCAATGAGATAATCCATTGTGAAGTACTAAAGCACTCCTTCACACATAATAAATATTTACTGTCTGTAAATATTAAAAGTCCAAATAAGAGATTATAGTGATCTGGTCTAAATTAGTAGCAGTATATTTGGAGAAAAGCAAATACATGTGAGACCTACCATGAAGGTTTAAAAAGCACTATTTAGTAATGAGTTGGATGAGAGAGCTGAAGGAGAAGGATTTTTCAGGTTTAAATCCCAGGTTTCTGTCAAAAGGAATGGGGTAGATTTTGCTACACTTTCCTAAGTTGGAGAAGGTCTGCCTCATGCAGAATTTAGTTCAATAAATTTGTCTCTGTATACCATGTAAGGCAGAAATGAAAAAAAGAAAAAAGTAAGTATCATACCATGTAAAAGGAAACAGCATTTTAGCACTTCAGATACTTGTTAAAATCTTGCATGAAATATATTAAACACTAATAAGTTTATATTATATTCATACCCTAGTGTTTGTAATATACCAAAATCTTAAGTGTGTATGGTTTGTTTCCCAGGTATACAATTTTGGAAATTTCCACCATAGTATGTGATAGACAGTGAATAATTAAGCTTATTTGTTTATTTTCTCTTATATTAAAAGTGTTTTAGAACCCTTCCATCTGTTTCCCTCACAGAATAGAGACTGCATTGTATTCCAGCAGATCAAAAACTTAATGAGAGTATCTATTCTTGTTTTCCTTGGCATCTGAGAGTCTGCTCTGAGAACCATCAGGCAACATGGGAAAGCGGGATAATCGGGTAGCTTACATGAATCCTATAGCAATGGCCAGATGGAGGGGCCCAACTCAATCTGTAGGCCCAACAATACAAGATTATCTGAATCGACCAAGACCCACCTGGGAGGAAGTGAAGAAAAAATTAGAAAATAAAAAGAAAGGCTCCAAAGCATTAGCTGAATTTGAAGAAAAAATGAATGAAGCTTGGAAGCAAGAACTTGAAAGAAGCAGAGAGAAATTATTAAGTGGAAATGAAAGCTCATCCAAAAAAAGAGAAAGAAAGAAAAAGAAAAAGAAGAAATCTTGTCGATCATCATCTTCATCTTCATCAAGCTCTGACACTTCAAGTAGTTCTTCAGATTCTGAGGAAGAGGAAAAGAAGCAAAGAAAAAAGAAGAAAAAGAAGAGCCGTTCATACAAATCATCAGAATCCTCTACATCTGAATCAGAAGCAGAGAGAAAAGAGTGTCTAAAGAAGAAAAAGAAGTCAAAGGATGAAACAGAGAAAGAAAAGTATATTAGAAGCTACAGCAAGAAAAGAAAGAAGACTTATCTTGAGGATAAACCTTCATCATCTGAATCTTCTTCAGAATCAGATGATGAAGAGGTGAAAGCAAAAAAGAAGAGAAAGCATGAAGACCAAGAAAAAGCAATGGAAAAAACAAAGAAGAAGAAGAAGAAACACAGTAAAAAACACAGTAAGAAGAAAAAGAAGTCTGGTTCAAATCATATATCAGGATAATATCGAGGGGAAAAAAGCAACATTTCCATATTTAAAAAAGCAGTCTAAAGGAAACTTCAACTGCGAAAGTTAAATCATATTTACCAAAATGCATGAGTTTCCCTGTCTTAGTAGTTATTTTTGAACTTTGAGTTGCCAATCAAATGCCACTGTGCCAAAAAGAGTCATATTTGTTGCCTGCAGTTTAAAAATAGAGATTTGTTTGATTGCTTGTTTGTTTGTCTTTCCTTCCAGTAGTCGTTCCTCTGGGAGTTAAAAATCCTGCTGTCATACTAGTGGTGAAAACATTTGAAATTAAAAAGTAATGTTTTAGATAATGAATAATTTTGACCAAAAATTTATCTAAGTTTAAATGTATATAATTTGAACACATCTTTAAAATACAACCAGAAATAACCTGACAATGTAGTTGACATTTTTGAAGAAAGAATTTATCATTAATATCTCAAAATCCTTACCTTCGTAGATATGTTTCATTTATTTTACTTTTTCCTTCAATAAATTTTTGTTTACATGGGGAAAGGGTTTGCAGCAGGGAGTGGGGTGGGGGAGTGTTTGCTACTCTGGCTATCTAAATAGTGTGCCTTTGATCCTTATACAACCTATTTTTGCCAGTGCAGCAGCCATTTTTTTTCTTATTTAGTGAAATTCTAGGATGCTGTTGTGTGTTGCTTCAAGCAAACAACAAAGACAGCAGTTTATAACATAAGCCCCCAAATCTATGACATTTACCTCCTTCACTATACAGTACTGAATAATACTTAGCATTAGAATATTATATGGCTTGAATTAACTTTGATACCCTTTGGGGAATAATCATTTTAAACCATCGCTAATGTTTTTTGATTATGAATTTTTTTCACAATGACATATTGCTATCTTTTAATTATCCAGCTATATTCTTTATAACCAGTGATCATTTTAAAATATGATTTATGCTTAATATATGAATTTCACAATTGTAATTTCTTAATCTCCCTATATTAATTCCATTACTTTGTTAATTTCTCACTTGCCAAAATATTTGGCATGTAAACAAAGAAAGTTTTAAAATTTTCATGCCTTCATATTGAAGCTGGTTTACTGTGAGTTGAGTGCCAGACCTCTAGTACACTGTGTGTCTTGTTATAGAAAACTACTGCCAAAATCTTAGTAAGTATGCTATTTAATAGTTTGTTGTCTTATGGACTGGGGGCATGACTCAAGTGGTAGAGCACCTACCTACCAAGTATAAGATTCTGAGTGCAAACTTCAGTACCACCAAAAATGTTTGTTGTTTCAAGCATTAATAATGAATTAAAATAAGAGTTAAATTAGGTGATCATGACATCATTTATCTTCCTGTATCTGTATTTTACTAAAATTTGGTGCCTTGTGCATGTTGCAATTAATGTGTACCATTAATATTAAAATGTGTTGAAAATTATTGTTACTTTACATTTTTATATATGAGAGTAACATAAATTATAAATTTATGTATCAAAATACCTATTACAGAAGATATGCTAATTGTAATGTCATAGGTACAAAGTATTTTGGCATGATAATAGGCTCAATGGCTATTGTTTTTAAATAGCTGATTTCATCTCAGCTTTCTTGTATAACAAGTAAAATTATAAAGATAGAAAACATCTCGTAGATAAATAACATGTTGGCTCCCCAAATTTTTGCAGTAGTAATACTGGAATCTCTCAGTAAGGTTCATGTTTACATTATAATAACACTATGTTAGATCACCTTGGAGCTTCATACCTTTAGCTGTGTCTTAAAAATTATATCTATATGTATGTTCTGAAAAATACTGTTACATTTAGGGGACATTTTGTATCCATATAGAGTTTTTCAAGATTATTGTTCATTAAAATGTTTTTTAAAAGTTATGTTATTTGTAGAATATGGCAAAGACAGTTACAGCTTACCATATAGCTCTGTGCTCCCATTCACTTCCCAGCCCCTTGTAGTAGGTGATGCCATTTGACTACTTCTAGCAGAGGGACTGAAAAGAAAAGTGATTTCCATCCTGAAGAGACCCTCCAGCTATCTCTTTACCTGCCACCAAAACCTGAAAGCAATGTTCTGCCTTCAAGATAGAATGGATGCAAGCTGGATCTTGAAGTCACCATTTAGAAGGGACTTTCCCTAGAAACCTGATGGATTTTTTTTGAGAGTAAGAAATAAATTATATGTTAAGCCACTGAGACTTTCGATCTATTTTTTTAAGTGCTGCATTATTACCTAACCTAATCTGAACTCTAGAATAGATGTTTTATTATTTACATAAAATAATTCATTTATCTTCTGTCACATCTTCCTACAATCTGAATATTGAAGAAATCATGTATGTCACAATGGAAGAAGAAAATGTTTATTTTATTTGCATTCATTTTTACTTATTAAGAAAAGGAATATATGAATAAATGAATAAAAATAAAAGAAAAAGAGTAGTGTAGTATGATATTTCACTCCTTTGATTATATAACCCAGTATTCCAGGAAAGGACTAAGGAAGGACAATTTAAAAGCACTCATGAATGCTTGATGGAGAAAAATTTTATTTTTTTAGATATTGGTGTAAACATTATAGTAGAGAAAAATATTATAGAAATATATAAATTACAGTAGAGTAAAAAGATCAAATGAACATTTAAGATGTAGCCTCCCAATTGAAAGCAAAATAATTGTGTCCCCATGGAAAAAGCACTAAAGTTGTTCTTAGTGATTTGCTTTTTATGATTAGTAAGAATATCTTTAGCCATAGCATTCAGCTACCTTCAACTATGAGAAGAAAACAGTGAGAAATTCAGTAAGAAAGAAAAAGGGAACTGGGAAAATCAGTAAAATTTAGATTAGAAATTTAATTTTCAATACAAGAAGAATGTGAAGAGCCTTAGGTTGTAGATGAAACAATTGGAAATAAGGAGACAATAAAATTCAAGGTTCTGGTGTCTTATCTTGTGGTAAGTTAGTAATAAACTTATTTAAAAAAATACATTTCATATTGGTACATACCTGTAGCTAATTTCTGTTAGTCTGTATTTTGCAAAATGTAATTTAATCTGAGATGGTCATTTTTACTTACTTCAGGCTTCATGAAAATTGTAGTCAGCTATTCAAAAATATCTATGTACTTTAGAGCTGAACCAGTTTTTCCATTGCTTCCTGAGATGCAAATAATGTATGTCCTTTAGTCAAATGTCTCTAGTCCCTAATAGCACATGCCTTTACTTTGCTTTATATATTTTTTTGTGCTTATGGTCTCTAGTTGTTAAAAACCCTGACTCTATGCTAAGCACTAGATTAAAATGCTCATTCTACTATTTATTGATATGTGATGTCAATGAAATTGTTTCACCTCTCTGATTCAATTTCCTCATATACAAAAGCAGAAAAAAATCGCATCTCAAGGATAGATTATAAGATCTGTTAGAAGAATAAGGCAAAATAACACTTAAGGCATTTAACTCAGTTTCTTGCACATAGTAAATGCTCAATAAATATTTTCTCTCTCCCTTCTTTTTTTAATCACCATTATCTTTATTATTATTATTATTATTATTCCATCACCTCCCACACACTGCATTTTTTATCTTCTTACAGGTAGAGGCTTTTTCTTTTATTTCTTGAAATGATGGTGGTACACATTGTTTTGTATGTTATGGACACCTAATTTTCATAAAATTTAAGACATTAGTCAGACCCCAGGAGGAAAGAGACAGGATGTATTGTAGATTTTATATACAAATTTTTTTTTAGCTAACAGCATGTGATATATACTGTTTTTTTTAAAGGGGATGTCCCCACAGGCTCATGTTTCTGGGCTTGGTTGCCAACTGATGGGCTTTGGGGAAGTGATTGGATCCTGAGGACTCTGAGGATCCTGAGGACTCTGACTTAATCAATGAATTAATCCCCTGATGGATTCATAATATGTTGGTATAATTGGTTGATGATGGGAAGTAGGAGATGGAGTTGGAGGAGGTAGGTCTCTGGGGGTGTGTCTTTAGGCCTATCTCTTACCCTGGCCACTTCCTGTATTCATTGTCTCGGCTTCCTGCCCACCATATGGTGAGTAGCCTCTGACATATGCTCCTATCATCATGATGTTTTATCTCAGCTCAGGTCCAGACCAATGGAGCCAAGGATTGTGGAGCGAAATCTTTGAAAATGATATATGTAAAAATAAATTCTTCATCCCTTAAGTGGTTTATGTCAGGTATTTTGTCACAGTGACAGAAAGTATAACATACATCAGATATTTGCCTCTATACAATGTAATGTTTTTTGTGTATTCGCAGATATATGCAAGTTTAACAAAAGTAAAGGTTAGAGTATTTTAATCCCCTCAAAAATTATACATACTGTATCCTCCCTGCTTCCACCCCCACAGCTTCTCAAGTCCAATCTAATGTACTTTCTGTAATTTTCCTGTTTTGAATATTTCATGTAAGTAGGATGATAAAATGTTGCCTTTGTGATTGGCTTGATTCACTTAGCATAGTATTTTCAAGGTTCATCCATATTGTAATATTATCAAAAATTATGCAAATATAAAATGAAAGAAAATCTAGTGCAGCCAATAGAATTTCCTCTAGAATCAGGAGAAACACTATCTTCCATATTTAAATGTGTAGGCATCATAATCCTGATTATACAGGAAGTTATTTAAGAAGTATATTTCCTGAATATAAAACTATTTAAATAAGGATTCTTACAGAGAAAGTGGGATCAGTTGTTTATGATGGAGCTTGATAACATCAACACAGCATGAGTATGATTTATGTTCAGAAATCTGGAAAGTGTAGAGCTGTTTTAAGGAAAGCATGGATATGCTAATTTTCCTTCCAATAAGCTATTTTTAATGGTTTAATCAACATTACATGGTATTTTGGGATGTCTTTTCCCAGAAACTATGAAAACCAATTACCAATTAAGTATACTTATTAGTAATGTTGCCTAAGAAATTACTTTATTGTTAATTACAGTTAGCATTTTGTTGCCAGTGCAGAGGAAGTAAA